CTGTCACCCCCAATATTGTATCATCTAACAGAGGAGGAGAGAGGGGGAGATTTTTGAGAGGGGTCTCAAATTCCATTTCTTCATGTATTCCATTATTTCCATTCCTAGGCCTACGCAACTTGTGCCCTTAAAGCACTGCTTCTCTCCTTAAATGGGCATCGCTTCCCAGGTTAACAGGATTGTGGTCTTCTTGTTGAAGGGCACTTACACATATGTAGCATGGTAGTAGCCATGTGCCTTATTAATGTTTGTGAACACGAATTGTGTTGAACTGAATTATAGCGCTAGAGAAATGCTATAGAAATCTTGGGATCCCAGCTGGTAAAAAAAAAGTGTGCTACCATCCAAGCTGAACTTCTAATCTCAAGAATTTGTGATTCTCACCCCTCAGGAGAATCTCTGGTATTTGATTATTCTTACAGAAACTGAGGATGAAAACTGAAGAAGAGAACCGGATTCATGGGGAGATTGAAGTATTCCTTAAAAAGGAGCAGCAGGTAGGTCAACAATGGTTTTATCCTGTTTTTTTTTTAATTTTTTTGTATTCCACTTGTTAAATATCAAAGAGAGCAAAAAACATTTTTTTTGAGTTATTTATCTGAATAGATTTTTTTTTTTTTTGAGACAGAGTCTCACTTTGTTGCCCTCAGAAGAGTACCATGGTGTCCTAGCTCACAGCAACCTCAAACTCTGCATCTGCCTCCCGAGTAGCTGGGACTACAGGCGTCCGCCACAACATCTGGCTATTTTTAGAGATGGGGTCTCACTCTGGCTCAGGCTGGTCTCGAACCTGTGAGCTCAGGCAATCTACCTGCCTTGGCCTCCCAGAGTGCTGGGATTATAGGTCTGAGCCACTGCACCCAGCCTGAATAGATATTTTATATAGCTGTAATTTAAGTGAGTACAGGTAAAATTTTGTCTTATATAATTTAGCTTAAAAAAAAGAAAACTGTTTACCTATATTGTTTCATAGTCATAGTTTAAAAAAAGAATTTACTGTTTTTTTTTAAATTATAAAAATAACATATTCTCAGTTTAGAATTTTCAAATCACCAATTGCTTTTTCACATTGTTACAAACTCTTTATAAAATAATTTAAAATAATTGTATGTAATATAATGTTCCATTGAATAGTGATGCCACAGTATACGTATTACCCTTTATTTGAATATTTAGATTGTTTCCAAAGTTTTATTTTAATAAATAATGCAGTTATGAAGGCTTTGCCCACAGAACTACTTTCCTTTATTGTAGTTATTTATTAAAAGTAAATCTCAAGCATAAGAGATTGGTATTTTGTGACTCTTGATAAATGTGGCTAATATTTTCTAATCTATATTGCCATCAGAAATGTATGAAGGCATTAATTTCCAGGTATCCTCAATAGTTTAGCCATTTTAAATATTTTTATAAGTCTGCTTATTTAATGAATTATTTTATTTTACATTTTAAAACTTAAAAATAAAAGTGAACAGGACATTTTTCTATTTACTTACACGATTTATTTCTTCTAGTCTGAATTATATGACGTATGCCAATAAGTTTGTGAACTTGCCACCATGCACTTATGTTGACACCACTATATAAACAACTCAGTAAAGTTTTACAACCTTGGTACATCAGTGTCTCACAGTTGTGTTTGTGTCAACATGTAGTGGTGCCTTTCTGGGTTGCGTTCATTATTGTTACATGTTTTTGCCAGGAGAATGTTGAAATAGAGCAAAAAACACATTAAATTTCTTATTGGTGGGGCATGGTGGCTCACAAGGGTGATGAAGTGAGACTGTGTCTCAAAAAAAAAAAGAAAATTAAAGTAGGCTTGGCGCCCGTAGCACAGTGGTTATAGTGCCAGCCATATACACCAAGGGTGGCGAGTTCGAACCTGACCCCAGCCAGCTAAACAACAATGACAGCTGCAAAAAAAAAAAAAAATTAGCTGGGCGTTATAGTGGACACCTGTAGTCCCAGCTACTTGGGAGGCTTAGGCAAGAGATTAAGCCCAAGAGTTTGAGGTTGCTGTGAGCTGTGATGCCATGACACTCTACCAAGGGTGACATTGTGAGACTCTGTCTCAAATAAATAAATAAATAAAGTAAAATAAATTTCTTTCCTTTTTTTTTTT